GAGGTTCCTGGCAGTAGGTATACCATAAAATAGACATGGATGAATGTAGACCTTGTGTTAAAAGATTATAGACCCCCGTGCCAAGTTGTGATATAGGTATCCCACATCTATTGTGTTGGACACGTTGGCCAGTAAATTGGAAACCGTATCAACTGCATATATTACCTTCTAGAGACATTATACAATTTTTCGATATTCTTTGAAAACATCAGGCGCATAAGATTTTTTTTTCTTCTGCTGGCTTAATTGATATGTATAGGTGTCACGGTCTGTGCATATTTCTACCGTCACAATATATATATATATATATTTTTATCTATCATAATCAAAATTGGAAATCCTATTAAGCAATCTAAATCTCTTAATTTCATTCCTAATTTTATATTTTATATCAAGTATTTTTCATATAAAATACACTAGGGAGAATTATCTTATTACCTTTAATTGCCAGCAGACCGCTTGGGAGGGAGATAAGACTGGAGACTCCCGGAGGACAGGGTAGCTGTTGAGAATTGGTCTGTTTAAGTGCATTTCTATGGGTTGGACCAGATTTAAAGGCAAATTGAAAACGTCAACAGCTCTATACTCATTCCTTTGATTATCCATGATATATTATTATTTTATACATGGAAACAATACGCTAGAAGGAAAATTCGTGTTATTTTTCTATGAATAACTATTATGAAACCAAATAGATTTAGAAATATTCATACTGCGGGAAGATAAAATGATTCCAGATTCATTGACCAACATGCTATATTTTTTTGCTTTTTGTTTATTGCCAGAAGTGCATACGTGTTGTTGAATGATTTTCGCACAGGATCATGCTATTTTTCCTGAACGATATTAGTAAAAGTATATTCTACAACTGCTTGCCTCCAGTAAATACTCATGCTTTTATAAGACATGGATTTCACAGAAAGGAAGTCTGAAGATTTGTAAAAAAAAAAAAAAAAAAAAAAAAAAAAAAAAAAAAAAAAAAAAGCTATTAACTACAGACAGTTATGAATAAGAATACAATGTGTAAATAGTCAAAAACATTTTATGAACAATCAAAAAACGAAATTATTCTTACCAGAGCCTGACGGTTGGCCGAACGTTGATGACGAAGTGCTGCTTGAACCAGGTCTTGAAGAATCTGAGCGAGAACCACTAAGACTTGAAGAGCCGGGGCCAAATGCACCTGGACGAGAACTACCGAAAGATCCAGATACAGTTGAACCAGGACCAGAGCCAGTGCCACTAGTGCCTACTTTAGAAGGACTTCCACGATGCGGAGATCCAGACTCTGAAGAAGGAGCGAAGGAAGAGGGCGCGGAAAAGCCAGTGCGGTGAGCTCCAAACCCAGGTTTATTGAAGGAGCTTTCTATAACATTAAGGGTGACGCTGCCACTGGAGGAACCAGGAATCCTAGACCCAGAACCAGTTCCTTTAATTCCTCCAGAACCAGGTGAACCAGGGCGAGAACCAGAAGCGCCAAAAGTAGAACCAGACCCAGGTGAACCAGGAGCGCCAAAAGTGGAAGAAGACCCAGATGAACCTGGGCGAGAACCGAAAGTAGAACCAGATCCAGGTGAACCTGGGGGAGAACCAGGAGCACCTAAAGTAGAACCAGATCCAGGTGAACCAGGAGCACCAAGAGTAGAACCAGATCCAGGTGAACCAGGAGCACTAAGAGTGGAACCAGACCCATGTGAACCAGGAGCACCAAAAGTAGAACCAGATCCAGATGAACCTGGGGGAGAACCAGGAGCACCTAAAGTAGAACCAGATCCAGGTGAACCAGGAGCACCAAGAGTGGAACCAGACCCATGTGAACCAGTAGCACCAAAAGTAGAACCAGATCCAGATGAACCTGGGGGAGAACCAAGAGCACCTAAAGTAGAACCAGATCCAGGCGATCCTGGCTTTGAGCCATACCCGTATCCAGAAGCACCAGAACCACTGCCAGTAGAACTAGAGCCAGAAGCTGGGCGAGAACCGAACGTAGAACCAGACCCAGGTGAACCTGGGCCATGAGAACCGAAACTAGAACCAGACCCAGGTGAACCTGGGCGAGAACCATGAGAACCGAAACTAGAACCAGACCCAGGTGAACCTGGGCGAGAACCATGAGAACCGAAACTAGAACCAGACCCAGGTGAACCTGGGCGAGAACCATGAGAACCGAAAGTAGAACCAGAACCTAAACTAGAACCAGACCCAGGTGAACCTGGGCGAGAACCAGAAGAACCGAAAGTGGAAGAAGATCCAGATGAACCTGGGCGGGAACCAGAAGCGCCAAAAGTAGAACCAGACCCAGGTGAACCAGGGCGAGAACCAGTAGCACCTATTGTAGAACCAGATCCAGGCGAACCTGGCTTTGAGCCATACCCATATCCAGAAGCACCAGAACCACTGCCAGTAGAACTAGAACCAGGAGAAGCTGGGCGAGAACCAAGGGAACCGAAACTAGAACCAGACCCAGATGAACCTGGGCGAGAACCAGAACTGAACGTAGAACCAGACCCAGGTGAACCAGGAGCGCCAAAAGTGGAAGAAGATCCAGATGAACCTGGGCGAGAACCATGAGAACCGAAAGTAGATCCAGATCCAGGTGAACCTGGGGGAGAACCAGGAGCACCTAAAGTAGAACCAGATCCAGGTGAACCAGGAGCACCAAGAGTAGAACCAGATCCAGGTGAACCAGGAGCACCAAAAGTAGAACCAGATCCAGATGAACCTGGAGGAGAACCAGGAGCACCTAAAGTAGAACCAGATCCAGGTGAACCAGGAGCACCAAGAGTGGAACCAGATCCAGGTGAACCAGGAGCACCAAGAGTGGAACCAGATCCAGCTGGGCGAGAACCGAAAGTAGAACCAGACCCAGGTGAACCTGGGCGAGAACCGTAGAACCAGACCCAGGTGAACCTGGGCGAGAACCATGAGAACCGAAAGTAGAGGTGAACCTGGGCGAGAACCATGAGAACCGAAACTAGAACCCCAGGTGAACCTGGGCGAGAACCATGAGAACCGAAACTAGAACCAGACCCAGGTGAACCTGGCGAGAACCATGAGAACCGAAAGTAGAACCAGAACCTAAACTAGAACCAGACCCAGGTGAACCTGGGCGAGAACCAGAAGAACCGAAAGTGGAAGAAGATCCAGATGAACCTGGGCGGGAACCAGAAGCGCCAAAAGTAGAACCAGACCCAGGTGAACCAGGGCGAGAACCAGTAGCACCTATTGTAGAACCAGATCCAGGCGAACCTGGCTTTGAGCCATAGCCATATCCAGAAGCACCAGAACCACTGCCAGTAGAACTAGAGCCAGAAGCTGGGCGAGAACCGAATGTAGAACCAGACCCAGGTGAACCTGGGCGAGAACCATGAGAACCGAAACTAGAACCAGACCCAGGTGAACCTGGGCGAGAACCATGAGAACCGAAAGTAGAACCAGACCCAGGTGAACCTGGGGGAGAACCAGGAGCACCTAAAGTAGAACCAGATCCAGGTGAACCAGGAGCACCAAGAGTAGAACCAGATCCAACCAGGAGCACCAAGAGTAGAACCAGACCCATGAGAACCAGGAGCACTAAAAGTAGAACCAGATCCAGATGAACCTGGGGAAGAACCAGGAGCACCTAAGTAGAACCCAGGTGAACCAGGAGCACCAAGAGTAGAACCAGATCCAGGTGAACCAGGAGCACCAAGAGTGGAACCAGACCCATGTGAACCAGGAGCACCAAAAGTAGAACCAGATCCAGATGAACCTGGGGGAGAACCAAGAGCACCTAAAGTAGAACCAGATCCAGGCGATTCTGGCTTTGAGCCATACCCATATCCCGAAGCACCAGAACCACTGCCAGTAGAACTAGAGCCAGAAGCTGGGCGAGAACCGAACGTAGAACCAGACCCAGGTGAACCTGGGCGAGAACCATGAGAACCGAAACTAGAACCAGACCCAGGTGAACCTGGGCGAGAACCATGAGAACCGAAACTAGAACCAGACCCAGGTGAACCTGGGCGAGAACCATGAGAACCGAAACTAGAACCAGACCCAGGTGAACCTGGGCGAGAACCATGAGAACCGAAACTAGAACCAGACCCAGGTGAACCTGGGCGAGAACTAGAAGAACCGAAAGTGGAAGAAGATCCAGATGAACCTGGTCGGGAACCAGAAGCGCCAAAAGTAGAACCAGACCCAGGTGAACCAGGGCGAGAACCAGTAGCACCTATTGTAGAACCAGATCCAGGCGAACCTGGCTTTGATCCATACCCATATCCAGAAACACCAGAACCACTGCCAGTAGAACTAGAGCCAGAAGCTGGGCGAGAACCGAACGTAGAACCAGACCCAGGTGAACCTGGGCGAGAACCATGAGAACCGAAACTAGAACCCCAGGTGAACCTGGGCGAGAACCATGAGAACCGAAACTAGAACCAGACCCAGGTGAACCTGGGCGAGAACCATGAGAACCGAGAGTAGAACCAGAACCTAAACTAGAACCAGACCCAGGTGAACCTGGGCGAGAACCAGAAGAACCGAAAGTGGAAGAAGATCCAGATGAACCTGGGCGGGAACCAGAAGCGCCAAAAGTAGAACCAGACCCAGGTGAACCAGGGCGAGAACCAGTAGCACCTATTGTAGAACCAGATCCAGGCGAACCTGGCTTTGAGCCATACCCATATCCAGAAGCACCAGAACCACTGCCAGTCGAACTAGAACCAGGAGAAGCTGGGCGAGAACTAGGAGAACCGAAACTAGAACCTGACCCAGGTGAACCAGGAGCGCCAAAAGTGGAAGAAGATCCAGATGAACCTGGGCGAGAACCATGAGAACCGAAAGTAGAAGCAGATCCAGGTGAACCAGGAGCACCAAGAGTAGAACCAGATCCAGGTGAACCAGGAGCACCAAGAGTAGAACCAGACCCAGGTAAACCTGGGCGAGAACCAGAAGCGCCAAAAGTGGAAGAACCAGGGCGAGAACCAGGAAAACCTAAAGTAGAACTAGATCCAGGT